CACCGGGGGAGTGAGTGCCAAGGGGGCACGGCCCGTCCCGGCAGGTCAGCAGTGCCGGGGCTGGCTCCGTGGGGTCCCATTTGATTTTACTGCCATGTGGTCCCCGGGGCCATGGTGATGGTCCTCTCCTGCAGCCTATCCATGGGCTGCTCCAAAGCACGTCCCTCCTCCGTGTCCTAAAGCAAACGGGTGCTCCTGGACACCCCTGCCTGCCCCATGGGGCCACATCCCGCCACGGGGCTGGGACGGGCAGAGCTTCGGCCGCTCCACTTCGCCGTTCCTCACTTTCGCCTTTCATCACTTAAGTGCAGTGTGTAACCATGAGGACAGTGAGATGTATCTGCTTGGAAAAGAAGTTTATCAGAGATGTTGTACCGATATTTTGTCCTGTGAATAAAGCACAGAATCCTGCTGTTACGGGTACTTCAGCAGCACCAGTGTCCTTGTCCAGCATGTGACCCCTTCGTGTGAATAAAAGCGGCTACCACCGGTCCGGAGCATGGGCTTTTCTTAGGCGAGGCACGTGCCCATGGGTCAGGCGAGGTGGTGGGCACGGCAGGGCACAGCCCTTCCCAGGGGTGACAGCACCACTCAGGAGTGTCGCAGGACCCTGGGTCAGTGCCACCTCCTGCCAGGCGTGAGGGGTGGGTGCTGCGGTAGACACAAGCAGCAGTAATCTATGGCTGGGAGGTGTCCCTGCCCATGGCAGGGGGTTAGCACTGGATGGTCTTAAAGTCCTTTCCAACACAAACCAGTCTGTGATTCTACAGTTGATCCTCGTGGGCTGTTCTACAGGAGCCCACGAGAACACTGAAGCGCCAAGTGCCGTGTGCTTTGGTGACTGGCCCCACTGCATTAGTCACTGTTGTCCTTTGATTTACCTCCCCGGCCACCGCAGCCTCCCTGAGCTGATATGGGACCAGCCGCCCTCCCACTGTGGTGAGAGAGATTGATGGGCTGCACCCTCAGACACTCGGAGGTGGTGCAGCATCCCTGTGCTCCCGGCTCAGCATCCCTGTGCTCGCAGCTCAGCATCCCTGTGCTCCCGGCTCAGCATCCCTGTGCTCCCGGCTCAGCATCCCTGTGCTCCGGGCTCAGCATCCCCGTGTTCCCGATTCAGCATTCCTGTACTCCCAGCTCAGCATCCCTGTGCTCCCGGCTCAGCATCCCTGTGCTCCGGGCTCAGCATCCCCGTGTTCCCGATTCAGCATTCCTGTACTCCCAGCTCAGCATCCCTGTGCTCCCAGTTCAGCATCCCTGTGCTCGCAGCTCAGCATCCCTGTGCTCGCAGCTCAGCATCCCCATGTTCCCGATTCAGCATCTGTGCTCCCAGCTCAGCATCCCCATGTTCCCGATTCAGCATCTGTGCTCCCAGCTCAGCATCCCCATGCTATCGCTGTGCTCCGGGCTCAGCATCCCCGTGTTCCCGATTCAGCATTCCTGTACTCCCAGCTCAGCATCCCTGTGCTCCCAGTTCAGCATCCCTGTGCTCGCAGCTCAGCATCCCTGTGCTCGCAGCTCAGCATCCCCATGTTCCCGATTCAGCATCTGTGCTCCCAGCTCAGCATCCCCATGCTCTCGCTCAGCACCTCATGAGCAGCTTGGGGTCCAGGGGTGCTCCCAGCTCCCACAGGGCTCAGCCAGGCCAGGCAGCATGGCCATGGGAGTGCCTGAGCTGTGGATACACACACGTAGCCCCATCCCATCCTGCAGTGATCCATCTTACGTCCTGTTAGCAGGCTCTGTAATGAGCACCGCTGCTCATGAATATCAATAACAGCTCTTGTTGGCAGGGTGTTATTTGCCTTTCCGAGAGCTGGACTGTTTGAATCATCTATTGATTTTCGTAGTAAACCTCAGGCATTTCTGTCAAAGGCTACAATTTACCACTAGCATCTAAATCCCATCCCGAGCCTCAGCTCTCCCCAGTGCTGGAACAAAGTGGTGTCTGTGCCACTCTGCAGCCAAGTGTCCCAGTGCAGGAGCAGCCCAGGAGCAGGCTGATGGGCTGGGAGGCCCCCGATGTTTGCCAGCACAGATGGGTGCTGCAGTGGTGGCCGTAAGATCCCCATGTGCTGGGTGATGAACCGCACGGGGGCTGTGACCGGTGCCCAGGAAAGGGGCACGCCTGGGTGGGATCAGTTTGGGATGAGATGCTCCTTCTCCTCGTGCTCCAGTGGTCCCTGCATGCGCCACAGGCTTCCCTGCGGAGGGGTCAGCAATGGTGCTGCCAGAGCCCCCCGGTGATTTGTCACCATGTCTGGAGCACCGAGCCAGCAGGACCAGGGTGCAGGAGATTGAGGGGAGCCCCATCCCCAGCACCCTCTGTCCCTGGGCGCGGGGCCTGCGATGCTTCCGAGTGATGCACAGTGGCCCTGGAGGGATGTGCACAACCACAGACCAGTTTAAGAGGCCTTACTGGAAGTGATTACTGTCCAGCAAGCTCTAATAGGGCAAAATTGGAGGTAATTAATGGAGATCTAATAGAGCTCTATCTGCATCACTCCCACTATCATCCAGCAGCAGCCACAGGAGACCCAGCAGGGAGGGTACCCAGAGCCAGCTGAGCAAGAGCAGGGGATTAGTGTCTGTCTGCAGGAAGACGGGATGTTTTCTTGTATGATTTTTCCTTTAAAGGAGAAAAACATCCATAGTGAGACTCACAAATCCCAGCCTCGCCATAGAAGAGCCATTTCCAGTCCACTCCAAGGAGACAGAAGGTGCTGGGTTAGATTGATCCCCCTGAAGATACTGTATTAGAGGGAAATTAGAGCTGGAGCCTGAAGAAACCGCTGCAATATCAAACAATTACTTTACATTTGCCCTTACAAATGGAGGAAGCAGAAATGTGCTTAAATCAAGTATTAGGTTTCCAAAGGGTGAGCAAATGAGGGCTTAGGATGGGCTGTACTGAGAATGCTTATCACATTAGGAGCTCTTAAAATGTGCCTTAAAAAGCCCCGGAGCAGATGATCTGCATCTGAAAGAGGCAGGTGGGGGTTTGGTGAGGACATTGAGTGGCGCTGGTTTGGTGACACTGATGCTGAGCAGAGGGGCTGCCAGAGGGACTCCCCCCACTCGTCCACGCCATTAAACGGCTGTAGCAGTTGGGAGGAAAGTGCTTTCCTTAAGTGCGAACTTTATAAGCCAGGATGTAAATTCTGACAACCACTGTGTGAATTTTAATGGGCCGGAAGGTGCATGGCTTAAAGGAACTGTTTCTAGGAGAAAGGTAACGGAGAGCCCTGCTAGAGCTCAGTGCAAAGCCTTGGTGAGCACCCAAAGACAGCAGGACGAGGACCTTCTGCTGACCTGCCTGACATGGGTGCCAGGTTCAGAGTGCTTGCCACAGGGGAGGGACAGGGGACAGGGACAGGGACAGGGTGCCAGAACTGGAGCTGAGCTGCAGGGACACAGCGATGCCCTGAGAATGGCCGTGCTGGAGACGAGGTTGAGCTGCCCATCACCTGCACGAGCCTGCTGCAGGCTGCAGGCAGAACACGGTGCAGAGGGAGCACCTCAAAGCTCTCCCGACGCAGGGAAAGCGCCAGCACTTGCATCAGGCAGTGCCTGGGAAGCAGACTGGCTTGGACTGGAGCTGCCGTGGGGTGACCCCCACCCGGGAAAGCCAGTAGCACAGGCCAAGGGCACTGGCCATGCCAGGAGGTGCCAGGAGGCACTCACTGCCCGTTGGAAGGTGGGTGCACAACCATCCCTGGTGCAGCACATCCCATGGCCTCAGAGGCATGGCCACAGCCGTTGCGTGCACCATGTTTTGATCAGTTCACTCAGGCTTGAACCCCAGAGAGCAGCTGTTTAATATTTATCAGCTCATAAATACTTAAATGTAATGAACATGACTTAAGTGGTCCCTGATCCCATTCACGCTGAAGAGCTCTTGAGACGTGCTGGGTCAAGGGAAACCTTCCCAGGGCCCATTCACATGCTGGCGAGTGCCCTGCCCTGCCCTGC